GGCTGTTTCCAGAATTAGCATGCTAAAGCTCAGCTAGGAGGCAGAACAATTCAAGAATCTTAGGAAAAGAATCCTTAAGAGACAGAGACCAGGAGAGAAGCCATCCAGGCCCCTCCAGATAAAACAAAGTTAAAAAACCAAAAGATCAAACAAACAAACAAACAAGGACAACTGCAGATGAAGTGGGATGAGAATGCGAAGACTCAGAATGGGCAGGTGAGGCTCAGAGCACAGTGGAGAAGTCACCTGAGGACAGGAAGTCATCTCACACCAGCAGAGGAGGAAGGAGAGGTCAGCTTCCCTGTGCTGAGAATCAGACACTGAGGGAGCCCCTGCAGAGGAGCGGGAGGGAAGGCCAGGCATGCGTGCAACTAGCCACCTCCCCCATGACTCACTGCCTTCAAAAGCTGCATGTTCTCAGCTGCAAAGTGCTGAGCCATTTCCTATTTTTGCATAAATTTGGGAAGGACTGTCAAATTTACAATGTCTTCCTATTGGGGACTATGGAATATATTACCCCACTGAATCAAGTCTTTTATGCCAATAAAATTTGAAAGTTTCATCAAGTAACTTCTGCATATTTCTTTTTTTTAAATGTATTTATTTATTCATTTCAAAGAGAGGAAGGGAGCTCTGTCGTTCCACTTGTTTATGCATTCATTGGTTGACTCTTGTATGTGCCCTAACCAGGGATCAAATTCACAACGTTGGTGTAACAGGATGAGACTAACCACCTGAGCTATTGGTCCAGGGCCATGTGAATCTTTATTCAATCATTTTAAAAAATTCAAAATTCATTAATTCTGCTTGTTTTTCAATAGATTCTCTTGAATAGTATAGGTTTCAAATCTATTATTTACAAATTGTTCCTGCTTTAAAACAAAGAAAATGTAGAAATTCATTTATATCAAAATACTTGTGGGCTGGCTGGCTTAGCTCAGTGGCAGAGTGTCACTGGTTCTATTAAAAGTCATGGCACATGCTGGGCTTCCAGTAAGGGGCGGTAAGGAGGCAATCAATCAATGATTCTCTCACCACTGATGTTTCTCTCTCTCCTTCTCTCTTCCCTTCTCTAAAAATCAATAAAAAAAAAAACATACTTAAACACCCCACACACGTGTGAAGCAGCAACGAGCTGTATCACCTGCAGGTGCTTCCCAGCTGTGTGCCCAGGAAGGTGTTCTGGAAGTAAAACGTCACACATTCTCCAGCCGGAGGTTTCTCGGGAACTTCCGGTAGGCAAAACACCACCCAGGAGTGAACTTCCGCAAAACTGAACTGGCCTGTTAAAGTCAGTGTGTTCATGGGTCTGTAATTCACAGCAGAGGGACATTAACAAACAGAATTTTGTAATAACAACTAAACAAATACATATTTGCTTAATTTTTCTCAGATTAATCTTACCCATCCGATAAATGAACATTCTGATTTCATGGAAGAGAGAAAGAATATCTATACCTCTGCTTTTACCAGTCAGGGGACACAAGTAGCTTGTTTTTATTATAATATCTTTACAAATAAAATCCAATTTGCCCAGGCATATTTCATTTTTTAAAAGTTCACCTAATACCCTTACTGTACAAACTATCAAAACACACAAGAATCTCCTCAGGGAAATAATGAGGTCACGTGACAGCACGGACGGGGCTTCTGAGTAAGACAAACAAGGGCTTGAAACGTTCCTAGGCTTACCAGCTTCGGGCCAAGGGGCAGGGAGGGGTCAATACCTTCTATCTTGCAGGGCCTTGGAAGGGATAGAGGAATTCTAAGAAGATACAGAATTAAGAAACCTAAAGCTAGAAGAGATTTTGAGGTCATCCAGGCCACCGGCTCATTTGCAGATAAGAAAACTAAATGAGATTGTTATGTCCCCAAAGTCACACAGGAAAGAGGCAAGATTCGAACCTGGTTTCTCGCTTGCCTGTGGCTGCTCTTTGCAGCTCACCATGCCACCACCATCCACAACTTTAACTTTTGGAGACATACCCAAAAGAATCTCTCCTCTTTAATGTTCTAAAAGAAATCCTTAGAAATATTTCTCCTTACATCTTATTTAAACTACCTACCTTTACCATTACAAGCTGCAATAGGAAAGACCTGGCTGGAGGTTTCACATTATAGCTGTTTCTTATGTCAGCAAGTTCCTTTCTTCCCAAGCATCCCAGTCTCATTTGTAAAATGGAGACATTTCCACCAGACTTGCTGTACGACTGAAACAATTCCTCAGCCACTAGCACAATGTATGGAGCAGGGCAAGTATTCAATAACTCATTTCTTTCCCTTCTCCCTCATTTAAGCCATATCTCTCATCTCAGGAAGTGAAAAACTACAAACAGGAGGATGCTTACATTATAGGGGAAGTGGGAAATAGCCAATTATCACCGTCTGGAGTATTTCCTGCGGTGCAACAGAGAGGAAATAAAATGTTTGAGGCTCATGCACCAAGGGCCTGTTCACAGAAAATGCAAAAGCAAAATGGTGACTCTGCTGATCACAGGACAGCAGTCCATGCGAAAGAGGAAGTCCAGCTGCAGCCAGCCTCTGAAAGTAGACAGGGACCCTAACATCAACAGGAATACCAATCCATTGCCATTAATTGAAAATGGGCACATCTTGCCGAAACCAGTTTGGCTCAATGGATAGAGCATCGGCTTGGGGATTGAAAGGTCCTGGGTTCGATTCCGGTCAAGGGCATGTACCTTTGTTGCGGGCACATCCCCAGTAGGGGGTGGGCAAGAGGCAGCTGATCGATGACTCTCTCTCATTGATGTTTCTAACTATTTCTCTCCCTTCTTCTCTGTACAAAATCAATAAAATATATTTAAAAAAAAAGAAAAAAAAAAGAAAATGGGCACATCTCTACAAGAACTGACACCATAAAAATTAAAGGCAAGTTGCCCTGGCTGGTATGGCTCAGTTGGTTGAGTGCCAACCCATGCACAGATAGGTCACCGGTTCAATTCCCAGTTCAGGGCACACACCCAGGTTGCATGTTCAATCCCTGGTTGGGGCACGTGGGAGGTAAAAGATGGATGTTGCTCTCTCACATTGATCTCTATCCTTCTTTCTCTCTCTCTTTCCCTTTTTTCCTCTGCAAAACATCAATAAAAACATATTTTTAAAAAAATCATAGGCAAGTTTGTCTGCATTATGTAATATCCTAAAAGTGAACTGCTCCTGCCTTGGTCCTACCTGTCACAATCGATACAGTGGGTCCTCTGATGGAGTGAAAGGGGTTTGATAAGGTACTGGCGGACCTGACAGGTTTTGGGTTGAATTCTTGGAGTCACGTATGCTTGAAGGGTGCCATACTGGCCTTCAATCGAGCGAATCTGATTCAATACAGAAGAGGAAAGAAAATAAGAAAAACCCAGCAACATAAGCATTATCTTTAAAATGGTCAACGCAAGTACTCAAGTACATAGGCCTTTATCTCTTCTGCCATATTTTGAAGAAAATAATGATATTCTATTAAACAGCTACTTTTTATCTCTAGAGTAAAGGAAGATTTTGGAAGAGGAAGGCAAAATTAACCCATCTATTGAAGCTGTTCCCACCACATGTTTTCAGGTCATCTGTCTACACCATTCCAAAAAACATACATTGTCACATACTACCCTAGCACGTTTAAAAGCACTATCTATAGCCCTAGTCGGTTTGGCTCAGTGGATAGAGAGCATCAGGCAGTGGACTGAAGGATTCCGGGTTTGGTTCCAGTCAAGGGCACATTCTGGTTTCCGGCTAGATCCCCATCAGGAGGCAGCCAATCAATGATTCTCTCTCATCAATGATGTTTCTTTCTCTCGCTCCCTCTTCATGCCACTCTGAAATCAATAAATATGTATTAAAATAGAACAAAACAAAAAAACACCATATACTATATTTTATAAGATTCATATAAAAATGGTTAAGAACCGAAGCCAGTTTGGCTCAGTGGTAGAGCATCGGTCTGCGGACTGAAAGGTCCCAGGTTCAATTCCGGTTAAGGGCATGTATATTGGTTGCGGGCACAACCCCGGTAGGGGGTGTGCAAGAGGTAGCTGGTCTATGTTTCTCTCTCATCGACATTTCTAGCTCTCTATCTCTCTCCCTTTCTCTCTGTAAAAAATCAATAAAATATATTAAAAATGGTTAAGAATTTAGACATTTTTGTTGAAGGGATAAGTGAGTTTTTCAAACTAACATGGACTATTTCATTTTCTCAGAAATGGGGGTACTATAGCATAAAGCTGCTGTTATAAAAAGAAAACTGCTGACAGCCTAGCTGGTTTGGCTCAGTGGCTAGAGCATCGGCCTGCAGACTGAATGGTCCCAGGGTTGAGCTCGGTTAAGGGCACATGCCCAGTAAGGGGGTGTGCAGAAGGCAGCCAAATTAATGATTCTCTCTCATCACTGACATTTCTAATTCTTCCTTCCTCTCTGAAATCAGTAAGAATATATATATATTTTAAAAATCTACTGACAGAAAATGTTGCCAAGAACTTAACTCTTGACTTTCTATGAAAATAGAAGCAGACTCATAATCTATTATGACATATTTAGATTAGGAAATTCTTTTAAGCTATTTTGAATATGGCTGATGGGCTATCCTGAGAATTCAAAACCAGTTATCAGAAGACAGTGATTCAGTGAACTAAAACCTAATCTCAGAAGAGGCGGAGAGCTGCCCACTCTGCCTCCCGCCCTCTGGCTCCACTCTGCTGAACTCCACATCCTGGGTGGTACTCCCTCTTGCATTACAAAGGTGGCTTTTCTAATCTGATATCTTAACTCACACTTTTCCTGGAATGTGAGGGGGAAATAAAATCAATGTTTTCCCTGAATGGGAAAAATAAATACAAGTTTAAAGCAAGATTCTTTTGCAAATGTTACACTACAAATATTGCTCTTAATGGGAAGACAGAAAAGATAAAAGGAAAAGAAGTGAAAATAAAATGAATGAAGAAAATAAAAATTATGATAAAGCTATATTTTAGGGTTTCTTTCCTTTTTTTTTTTTTTTTTATATGGAACAATTCACGAATTTGCGGGTCATCCCTGCACAGGGCCATGCTAATCTTTTCTGCATCATTCCCATTGCAGTCTATGTGCTGCTGAAGTGAGCACTAGGGTTTCTTTATAAAGGGTAAGCTTACACATAATCTTAAAGAGGAAGCTGTACATAACTTTCTCACAATAAAAGGTCATAACGCTTTCTCTGGTTACATAATTCATATTCCTTATTTTAAGTATCCTAATAATTAAGAAAGATGATCATTACTCTATTTTGGTAGCCATCTTTTGTATCTCTCTATACAGACGTATAAAAGCAAATATATAATTTCACATAAATTCTATTTATATCATAAACATCTTTGTTTTTACTTTTAACAATCACATTTCCCCCTTATTGCTGCCTGTCCTCATACTGCCTCCCGCACTGTGGAACCCGTCAAACAAGACAGGTGAGTTTCTTACACACCTTTCTTCATATTTATGTCCTTATAATAAACATATATACATATTCAGAGGTTCCATCTACGGTATGTGTTTTTCAGGAATTTGCTCCATGTTACCAGAAATACATCGACTCACTTTTTATCGCAGCTGTGTAATATTCTTTGGAATGAAAAGGAGCTGTGTAACCCACCATTAAATTATTGAGTGTTCATTTGGTTCCACTTTTCTGCCTCTACAAATGATGCTGCAATTACACTTCCGTGTGCACACACTGTGATCCTATTGCTGTGAGACTGATTCCTCTAAATGAGTGACTGTAACACTTGTCCTCTCCTTTAGCTAGGATTGCCTGTTCTTTTCCTCATCCCTGCCACCTGGTGACGCTGCTCTGTACAATTTTTGCCAATCTATCAAATAAGCAGAAACTGTTTTTTGGTTATTTCAATTGGAATTTCCCTAATAATGAGGCAGAACATTTTGATCCCCTCTTCTGTGAATTGACTATCCATATCCTTTGCCTATTTTCCTTATTCGGTAGTCTTTTGTTAAAAAAAAAAAAAAATTATTTACTTCAGAGAGCAAGGAAGAGGGAGAAAGATAGAAACATCAATGATGAGAGAGAATCATGCATGGATCGGCTGCCTCCTACACGCCCCACACTGGGGATCCAGCCCTGACTAGGAATAGAGCCGTGATTTCCTGGTTTAGAGTTCAAACGTCCACATCAGCCAGACTTGGTAGTCTTTTTATAATGACTTACAGGCAGCCTTTATATTTTATTAATATTCACCCATTACCTGGAAGACAAGTAAATTTCCTTTTTTAAATAACTAGATTCTTAAGTCATCTAAATATTTTTATATATAACATAAGTAGCTGCTTAATTTTCTTCCAGATGAATGCTAGTTGTGCCAACACATACTTTTAAAAAAGAAATAGTAAGTTAGTGAATCTTTCTCTACAAACAAATGTCACACATTACATTTCCATAAATGTGTGCTTGGGTCTATTCCTATATTTTGTCGGATGGCCTATTTATATAAATACCCTCCAGTAGCAGGCATCTTATTATAGTTACACAGTATGTTTTACCGAGAGGGCAGGGCAGGGCAAAGTTGGGCTCCTGACCCCACTGTGGGGCAGGGCGGAGTTATCCTCCATTCTATAACTGAACCTTAGCCCTCACCCAACCAATCAGGGTTAGCTGAGGCAGTGACATCACCACCAACCGGAGTAAAACCCCTGGACTGGGCGAAATTTGCTCTCTCTTCCGCCATGCTGCCGGCGTGGGTGGGACAGAGCCCATGCTAGCATGGAAAACGCTCTTTTGTTTATTGCATCGGACTCGGCTCCCTAGTGGTCCTTGGGGATCACGAAGTCTGGGCATAAGATATGGGGAATTCGTCCAGGATCCCCAGCCAGGACCATGAGGGATCCCGATCTGGAGAGTCTGACTGGCCGTGGTAGGTGTGTGTTGTCTGTGTCCTTGTGTGAGCACTCTGGAGGGACGTAAAACCCCTCAAGGAATTGGTGCCCAAATACGCCTGATGGATGCACCATTAAGGCCACAGGCAGGAGGATTCAGAAGATGCTCTGACCTCCCGGGAGGGCCCTAGAGGGACCCTCATATGGGGAGAGGGATGGTAGCCTCTCCCAGGATGAGGTGAGCTGTTGCCTCACCTACGGAAAGTGACGGGAGCCTTTCCCAGGTCTGAATTTGGTATCTGCGGGCGACATGGTGCCCCAGGATAGAGCTGGTGAAGTGTGGCCGGCATGGTGGTGCGGGGCCCCCTGGCGGCGTTGGGTCGGAGGCGGGGCTCCCGCGGGGCTCAGTCTGCGCGTTGGAGCGCGGCTGGGCAGTGGTGGCCTCGCTCGGGGAGCAGGCACCTGGGTTAATTTGCTGGCTTCCTGGAGAAGGGGAGGCGGAGCCGGGAAGCCGCTGGGGCGACCCGCGCTTTCTCCTCGGGGGCCGCCTGAGTAACGTGGCTGGGGCGGCAGCCGAAGCAGCCTAGCTCGGGGGGCCTGGGCCGGCGTGGCAGCATAGGCCTCAAGGGCGAATTTCTGTGCTCATGTAAAGGGAAAAGGCCAGTTCAAAACAAGTGCGCATAGTTTTGGGCTGTGCTTAAAACTCTTTTCTGTGTACAGAATGGGTTTTAAAAATGGTGGAGATTAACAGGGAGATAAATTAAAACTGGTTTCCCAAGTCATTGTAAGCAGCTTTTGAAATTCCCCGCCGTGAGACAGAAACTAGATGGTAATGGTAACAAGTTTACATGAATGGCTGGGAGTCTTCAGCTAAAGAATATGTTCATTTGCATTTGAATGATACTCCAGTGATCTGCAGGGAGTGGCAGGTTATTCCGTGGTGAAGCTGCCCAGATGGCCATGCTTATGAACTGTGATTGACCTATGAACAAAATTCATTTTTTTCTGACATTGTCTTAAATCTGAGTAAACTGCCTCTGGTGCGGAGAGGTCTGTGGGGGCTGGAGAGGGCAAGACTATTTGCTCTCCTGCAAAGGGATTATTCAGTGCTTTGTTTATATTTGTCTTGCCAGCTTTAAAAGTTCAAAGTATAAACTGAACTAGGAAGAGTTAATTGCAGTAACTAAATGCCTAGAATATGGCAGGCTAAACTGTATTACATGTGTTAAGAATAAGCAATAATGATCAAAGATCTCAAGGATTGATTTATTCTCATTTGTCAGATGAGGAATCTATATGATGCTTGAGCCCTATCCAGGTTGTTTCATACAGACCTAAGTAAATTTGTTGGGAATTTATAGTGTGCCTCTTGTGAAGAAGTAGGCCAAGTCATATATTTTTCTCTTAATGTAGAAAAAGTGATAACCATATTAATTTGTTTTGTTTGCTTTTCTCATATGCCATTGTTGTTATCATTTGTAATAGCATTGTAAGCTTGAATTTGGGCTTGTACCGGCATCTTGTATTTTGTACATTCGGTTGTTTAAACTTTGGGAATCATTTTTGGTTTCAGTCATGAGTGTCTACTTTATAGATTTAAGTAGACTTCATCACAAAGGTTTATAATTTATTTAGAATTGTGTTAAAACAATGTGAAAACAATTATTTGTATGATTTAACCCTCTGCGACTGCTTGGACAATTTTCACCGATGTTCTGCGGTGGGGAGTAGAGGGGGCTTAGAAATGCAGATAAATCTGTATCTGTAGGAAAAATGTGGCATTTTAAATTTCAAACGGCTGGGGGCCTGGGAACAGTGTACTAGACCTGCTCCCTCCTCCCTTGCCTTTTCTTTAAAATTTGAGGCATGGTTATGTATTTTTGGAAGATAAGATTTTTATAAAAGTTATAAAGAGAATGTCCTCACAGGTTAGCTAGAAGAGGCAAACCTGTTAGTTTCCTGATGGGCATTGGGGCAGCCTATTTAGTGTTGAGAGAGCCAATAGGACCCATACATCAGCCCAGGAAGCCACTGGACAAACTGCCTGTTTTCCTTGGACATCAAGAAGGACTGCGGTCCTCGGAAGGAACATGTACTGGGGGGAATGCAGCTGTTGAACTGGTCCAAAGTGGAACAACGGGCCTTTGAGGAGCTAAAGAAGGCTCTCATCTCAGCAGCTGCCCTAGCCTTGCCAGACATCTCAAAGCCCTTCCACCTCTACGTGAGTGAGGTAAGGGGCATTGCAAAAGGGGTTCTCACTAAGACTCTAGGTCCCTGGAAGAGACCTGTTGCCTATCTGTCTGGGAGACTGGACCCTGTGGCAGCAGGGTGGCCAGCGTGCTCCCAGGCAGTGGCCACCACAGCACTGCTGGTGAAGGAGGCAGATAAGCAGACTCTGGGCCAGGAGCTAACCTGGATGAACTAAGCTTTTCTCCTGGACCAGCCCTGTGTCCGGATTCATAAGACTTTGGCCATCAACCCTACCAGCCTGCTTCCAGATTATGATGGAGGAACCAATTCATGAATTCACAGAGGTAACAGACGACAAGGTACTGTTCACGGATGGGAGCAGTTACGTTCAGGATGGGACCTGATATGCAGGGGCAGTAGTCACCCTGGACCACACCATTTGGGCACAGTTCCAGAACTTTTGGCCTTAATCCAGGCCCTTTGATGGAGACACTGTGCCATCCACAGAGAAAAGAGGGTTACCAACTGCAGCCAGAAGGAATCAGCTGAACAGAAGCAAGCCACTGAAGGACCAGATGATTGGTGGACCCTCCAGATGACAAGACTGTTGGTCCCAGAGGCTCTAGGTCAGAGTTGCCCAGTGTCACCAGGTTACCCACTTAAGTGTCACCAAGACTTCTGAACTTCTGTGAGGCAGAGTTGCTAGAAGTACTGTCTGAGCACAGGTAAATGCTAAGCAAGGTAAGGGGGTCCCCCTGGGAATTCGGGTCCCAGGGAACTTCCCCAGGAGAGCATTGGTAGGTGGATTTCAGAGATTAAACCACCAGCATTAAGGTCTAGTTTTTGTAGACACTTCAGATTAGGTTGAAGTATACCCCAATAAGACAAAAACTGCCTCTATAGTAGTCAAGAGATTACTCCAGGAGATTATACCTAGATTTGGGCTGCCAGTATCAGATAACAGCCCCACCTTTGTAGCTAAGGTATCTCAGAGTATAGCTCTAGTCTTAGGACAGGTAAAGTGAAACTCTGGAAAAGGGGTTTAACTAAAT